ATTGCCAATCCTCCTCCTTTTTTTTTTCCCCCAAAGCCCCAGTAGATAGTTGTATGTCATAGCTGCACATCCTTCTAGTTGCTGTATGTGGGACGGACGAGGCCTCAGCATGGCTGGAGAAGCAGTGCGTCGGTGCGCGCCCGGGATCCGAACCCGGGCCACCAGTAGCAGAGCGCGCGCACTTAACCGCTAAGCCACGGGGCCAGCCCAATCTGCATTTCTTTAATGGGTCTAAATGCATATTGTTCAACAGGCAGAGTTCTTTTAAAATCTAAGAATGCCTTTAACAACCTGAACAGCTGTGACTCTGAGATTGCCGTCCTCATGATCATACTTCTGAAACTATTGCTCATTATCTTCAAGTTACATTTATATAGCACCTATACATGATATGGAGTATATTTTTAAATATTTTTAATATGAAAAATTTCAAATATCAAAGTAGAGAGTAGGAACCTCAATGTACCCATCACTCAGCTTCAGTACCCGTCAGTATTAAGTCATATATTTCATCCATTTACCTCTCCTATTTTTTTTTTATTCTGGAGTATTTTTAAAGCAATACTTGGACACTGTTATTTCATGTGGTGGTTTTAAAGAATAGAACAGTCTCTATTCTCTGAAAGTTAACATTTGAATGTATTAATACAGGTACGTATATTAAGGGATTCAATTTAAAGTGTTGCAAACAGTGACAAATATCCATGATATGAAATGTATTAATGTTACACCTCAATATTACTTGTAAAACAAAAAGCTGGATTTGTGGTGCTGGTGAAGGGACAGATGAAATAGAAAAATTAAGGAAAGGGAGAAAATTGGGGGAAGAAAGTGACAACACAGAGAAACTAAAATGTAGTTCTGAGGGAAGGAAGTTTTTTTCTTAAAAAATAAACATTCACACTGGCAGAAGCCTTAACAACTTCACTGCATTTGCTCTAGAAAGCAAAAAAAAGAGATCAGGTAGTTGCTCCTAATTTAAAATTAATGACCCAGACCTGTGGTGGTTTTTGCTATTTTCAGTTCCTTGATGATGAAAAGAAATTTTAACTTTCCAAAATGCAACTGTACCTCAACACATGTTGATAATACTAACTCAGATTTAGGTGAAGAGAAATCCACTTCCATTTAAATAAAACCTTTTACAGATATACATATATGGAGTATTTTAGGTTTAGGCAAAAAAAATACTAATATAAATGTTTTCATTTTAAACACAATGTTTTTGGAGAATTTTTACCAAGAATAATGAGTAGAAATACAAATTTTAAAAGAATTAAAACAAACCTTGATTTCTTACCTGTTCCAATATCCCTCCTGGCATTATCCACACCAATGTCTTTGTCAAGTGTCATTGAAACAATCTTGTTTTCTGATGGGCCTGCTGGTCTCTCCTTCAGCAACAAAGGAGTGCTGGAATTTGAAGTGCTCACTGTCTGACTTGCAATTTGATTTACTTTTGACCAAGGACTGGGGTCTAAAAAATTCATGTATACTGGAGTTTTCTCAGGTTTTTTATCTGAAGTTGAAAGATCAAAGGCTGACCTTCCACGTCTGTTTACTAAATCTCCAGATGCTTCTCTGTGAAATGAACATGATTCTTCCAGCTGGCCTTCATTGTACATTTTTCCTGAAACAATGTCATTTAATGACTCTCTTTTCTCTGTATTATTTAACAATGTATGCTGTCTTTCGTT